CGCCCGGCCCCGCCTCCGCACGTGACGCCGCCGAGGCGGGCAGTCTGCGCGTGCGCGGGCACGCCTCCTCCCTGGATCCCTCCGCCCTCAGCTTCTGTTCCTCACCTTACGGCCGAAGTTGGGAACTCCAAGCTCCACACTCTACGGAGTCAGCAGTGTCGCAAGTCTGGGAATGGTGGTGGGGAGGGCGGGGGAGGAGGGAACTCTGTGTTTGCGACCGTAGCGCTCACTTTCCGGCTAACACCGAGGTGCCTGAAGCCTGGCTGAGGTGGTGAGGCCCGGGTGAGGTAAGACGCCTCCCCTCCGCTTGGGTTTGTCCAGTGTGTGGTTTGTCCCACGTGTGGCGCGCCTTTCCTCACACGCAGGTTCTGGCGCCCTCAGTTCGGGAAACTGAGTCTCGAGGGTAGTAGAATAAAGAAGTTATAGAAAACGGCCTCAACAGACCAGAGCAACTTTCACGGAAAGTTGAAGAGGGACGCCGTGGTGGTCACCTGGGGAGAGTCCGGAGAAACGGCCCGGTGTAATGGGGACAAGGGGTGGAGGGACTTAAGTCGGGGTGCTGGGGGAGGGGGGGCAGGGTCGCAGGTGGCTGGAGGGTTCGAAGAGTTTCGCGAGTTTATGGTACGGGTTGTTTGCGCGAGTCTCCCGGACGGTCTCCCTGGCGCCCCTCACCTGGGAAGGTGGGGAGAGTGAGCTGTCACCTGTAGATTAAGATTCTGGGCTGGAGCTGAAGATGCTGTCGAGCAACACTGAGTTGGGAGAATCCAAAGCAGATTCCCATCAGGTTCCCCCCGCTCCCCACCTCTCCCACCTAGCCCTGCAGCGCGCCGCCCCTCGCCGCCTTCTACACGCGCTCGCGCGCCCTCCTCCCTGCCCCCCACCCTGGGCTCGGCTCCGGCCCCGCCTCCTGCCGCCTGACTCCTCCCCCGCCGCCGCCGGCCGGCTCCGGCCCCGCCCCCTGCCTCCGCTCGCAAGTATTCCTTTTCCATTCATTCCGCAGACTTTTCGCTGAGTGGGTTCCACGCCTCAAGTGCCCGATACAGAAGCGAATGGTGACAGGGTCAGCTTTTTGACAGCGCAGTCATTATATAGGACGCCCTTTCCACTTGTAGCTGAGGGCATTTCCCAGCTGACTTTCTCTAGAAGATTTGTTAAGAGACCTAATGAGCCGTAGCTGGTCACAGAAATGGGAGGGGAGTCGAAGGAGACAGGACAGTCCCTGGTGGGGAGGGAGAAGGAGACAGAGATGAGGAACTAGAATGTGGGCCTCAAGAATGTTTTCTTGCCGGGCGCCCGTGGCTCATGCCTGTAAGCCCAGCTACCAGAAGACAGAGACAGGAGGATGGTAAATTTTAGGCTAGCCCTTATTACATAGCAAGTCTCTGTCTCAAGAAAAAAGAAAAAAGTGGGAGTGTAGTTCAGTGGTAGAACACTCATCTAGCATGAGTAAAGCCCTCAGAACAATCCTCATTACTCAGGGAGGAAAAAGATGGGAGAGGCTATTATGCACGAAATATACCATAGAACCCCGAAGTGAGTGAGGGAGGCCCAAAAATAGCATCAACAACACAATGGTGATTTTGTTTTGTGCTGGTACTGGGGCTTGAACTCAGGGCCTCTCAATCTTGCTCAGCTTTTTTGCTCATGGTTGGCAGGCTCTTACCCCTTAAGCAGGCTGTACCACTTTCAGCCTTTTGCTGGCAAACTGATGAGAAGAAACCCGAAGACATTTCTGCCGGAGCTGGCTCCAAACCACGATCCTCAGATCTTAGCCTCCTAAGTAGCTAGAATTACAGGCATGAGCCACTGGCGCCCAGCTGTACATTATATAAGTACTTATTTATACCTTGAGTAACATGTAGCAGCAGAGCTAATTCTGTAATTTCAAAGTAGTGATAAGTATAGGATATATTTTGAGATACCTGCAACTACTTTATGTGATACGAAAATATCAGATTTCCAATGGTAATAAAGTCATAGAACTGTGAATACCACTATAGCTTATTACTACACTTTATTGAAGAAAAGGCTAAATTTTACCCAGAGATAGTTAAAACAAGCAGCTTATATGATGATTGAAGTTCATAGAATTCTGAAATTCTAACCACATCCTCGTGTATGGATCCCAAGTTTTAAAATAATGGTTTTAAACTAGAACATCATAGATCAGATCTGGGTTTGAGAAAGATGACAGAGCACTGTTCACTTCCCAGACTCTCTTTGGGTGGGGGGTAGTAAACTGGCTATTTTGTTCTGTTCTGCCTTTACCTCTGGAGAAACAGCTCACAAACCTGTTACTAACCCACTATTGACTGACAGACCTGCATTCATTCATGTGTATGAGGGAGTGGTCCTAGGATATAAATCAAGATAAGTCAGAGCTATTTGGGGGGAAATCATTCTTTGGTAGTACTTAATTTGGTAAACAATGGAGAGTTGGGGCTGGGAAGGTGGCTCAGTGGTAGAGTGCTTGACTTGCATGCATGAGGCCCTAGGTTCAATTCCTCAGCACCACATAAGCAAAAAGAAAAAAAAAAAAGCCGGAAGCAGGGCTGTGGCTCAAGTGGTAGAGCACTAGCCTTGAGCTGAAGAGCTGAGGGACAGCGCCCAGGCTCAGAGTTCAGGCACCATGACCGGACCCAAAAAAAAAAAAAATGGAGAGTTGTTCAAATGTTTGAAGAATAATAACTGAATCTTGAGAAGAGGCGGGAGAGAAAGAGAGAGAGAGAGAGGTGAGGTTGATTGGAACAATCTTATACATGCGTGGAAATGTAACCAAGAGATTACATTTCAAAAAAATTTAGCTAATTTTTTAAGCCTGAATCTTGAAATGATAATCTGCTATCAATGTACTTGCCAGTCTAAAGAAACATAGGTGGAAGAAAATTATACAGCTTTTCACAAATCATGAGCTGAAGTATTGGGGTCAGCTAGCATCCTATGTGATCAAGTGGCAAGCCCACTCAGTTTTATAAGTGGAAGTATTGGTGCTTCATAAGTCAGTGGAATACCTCATAGAGGTTGGAAGATTTTAGGCCTTTCTTGATCAAATTCCATTTCTACTTGAGTGAGTCATTCGTTTCTGCCTTTTTAAGGTCCGGACACCTCTCTTGACAATTCTTAAAACCTCTTGGATGACTAAAACTCACTAAAAAAAAAAAAAGGAAAATGCACACAGCCCCATCTTTAGAAACTAGGAAGACTAAATGATGTGAAAACTGCTAAAATCCCATCTAGTTACCTAGATAATGTGCTTATTAAGCACATGACTCAGAAACTTGAATCTGGGGTTTCAGTATTACTAATGCAAATGAGTCATGTAAAAGTTACTTCACTTCCAGAACCTCCAGCATCATTAGCCTGTGTTGTCTTTTTACCCATCACATGATTAGAAGCCCCTAGGGTAATATGGCTCCATACAAACTGAATAGGCAGGGCATGCAAGTCAGTTCTCTATCTTTGACCTTCCCTCTTTTGGAAGAGGGACCATGAAAGAAGTCTTAACTGAAAGCAGAAATCATAATTTAGGAAGTTCATTGAGAGTTTTTTCTGCAAGTCCCTTCCTCTGGCATTTAGATCATAGTCTTGCTACCTCGCAGACTTGTCTCATTTATACTTCCTACATCAAATATCTGTATTATAGGTATGAAAACCTTAGGCCTACCTTCCTTCTTTATGACCAATGAGTAAAAGTGGTCTGAGACTTAAGTTCCTTCAAAGTAGGAGTTTAAGGATTTCTGATCTTAGCTAATTTTCTCACAGCTGTTGTCGAAATAACTTGGGACTTTATATTAGCAGCTACAACTATTGCTTGTTGGAAATATTTAGCCCCATTGAATAATATATAATTCAAATTTGGTCAGAAACCCAATAGTATTGTTAATTAATTTAAAGACTAATTGGTGCTGGGCGACGGTAGCTCACGCCTGTAATCCTAACTACTCAGGAAGCTGAGATCTGAGGATCACAGTTCAAAGCCAGCTGAGGCTGAAAAGTCCGTGAGACTCTTATCTCCAATAAACCACTAGAAAACCAGAAGTGGTACTGTGGCTGAAGTGGTAGAGCTCTCGCCTTGAGCTGAAGAGCGCAGGGACAGTGCCCAGGCCCAGAGTTCAAGCCCCACAATTGACCAAAAAAAAAAAAAAGACTAATTAGTAAGGCAGAAAGTTCTATATATCATAACTGGGTCCAATTGGACCCTCTTTTATGCTATAATGAATTCAAATTCTTTATTTCATAAAATATTTATTAATCCATGACTATATGTCAAGCACATTTTTGAAACCCACTAGCTAGCAATTTGTAGTGGCAGTTTACTTCCTAACTACCTTAGAAAAAAATAACTCGCCAGAAATACACAGGATAAATAAGATTAAAAGTTGATGACTTTTTTTTAAGCCAGGCACAGTGGCCCACACCTGTAATCCTCTCTATTCTGAGACAGAGATTGTGAAGATGGCAGCTCAAGCACTATCTTATCTATCGAGCACTACCTATCCATAAGTATACACTTATCCTAGCTACACTGGAAGAGTACGTTTGATTGACACCTTATTATAAAGTCATTTGTCAAATTTTTTCAACAAAATAAAATCTGTAAGAAACACTCCGTATACCCCAGTTTTATAGTAAGGAGAAAAGGTGTGATGCCACTATACATGAAACCCTTGAGGTTCGAGAGGCGTGCAAACAATAAAATTCTTAGCCTGGCCCATGACATCTAAGCCATTGATGGCCAGGACCAGTAACAGTAAAATGGAGAAGTCCTCAAAGGTCACCTGGTCTGATTCCTGGGCCCACAGCGTGACCAAATGGTATTTATGCTAATGCAGCATTTTTTGTACCAGGAAGTGTTTCTGCCCTTTTTAGGGGAGAAGTAAGGGGTGGGGGGAGATCCTGGGGCTTAAAATCAGGGCATGGTTGCTGTCCCTGAGCTTTTGTGCTCAAGGCTAATGCTTTACCACCTGAGCCACAGTTCCATTTCCAGCTTCTTTCTTTTCTCTCTCTCTCTCTTTTTTTTTTTTGGTAGATTAGAGATTAGAGTCTCACAGGCTTTCCTCTCCTGACTGGCTTTGAACCACAATCCTCAGATCCCAGCCTTCTAAGTAGCTAGGATTACAAGCGTGAGCCACTGGCACCAATAGTTTAAGTTATTTCTAAAAATTGAGAACATAACCTGTTGATGATAATTTTGTGTTTATAGAAGTTGTGCAAAATAGTTTTTTGGGGTTTTTTTTGCCGGTCCTGGGGCCTGAACTCTGGGCCTGGGCACTGCCTCTCAGCTCTT